TGAGTAGAGCAAAGTTATTGTTGGTAGAGAAAAGAAGAAAATGATGTTATGACAAAGTCTTTTAGTATGTTTACCAGATTAGTTATCATATAAGAAAAATCTCATCAAGCTGTTTTTTAAATTCTTTACTTTAAATATATCCCACTACCACTAACTAGTGTAAAAAATAATAATTACTACATTTTAAACATGAATGATAATAATAACCAAAAGGAAAAAAAAAAAGGAGAGAGGGAGGAAGGAATGAAGGAAAGTCAAGGATAATGTATAATTTTCCTATATACATATATACATATATATATATACATATATATATTTTTTTCCTTGCTTAATTATAATCTTCAATTCTACTTTCTGAAGGCAATTCTCCAAGTTTAGCTAATTTTCTTTTGACTAATTCTACTTTCTTCCATACACGTAGAAAATTTTTGCCCGCCAAACCGATCAAATCATCATCAGACCAACCTCGACGGATCAGCTCTGCAAAGAGATCAGGATATTTCGACACATCTTCGAGGCCAACTGGAGTTTCTTCGATACCATTGTAATCAGCACCTAAACCGACACGATCATGACCTGCAACAGCCGCAATATGCTCAATATGATCCGCAACATCACTTAATGTAGCTTTCCTGGTTGGATCAGTACATTGAACGAAGGCATTGTAAAAATTGACCATCACAACGCCATCTGTTTCATGTAAACGTTTTAGAACTGCATCGGGCACGTTGCGTTCGATAGGACAAAGCGCATGGCTAGATGAATGAGAAAATAAGACGGGCGCACGAGTTACGTTCAGAACGGCATGCATCGTAGAATGAGCCACATGTGAGATATCGACCATCATCCCAAGCCTGTTCATCTCACGTACAATCTCCTTACCAAACTCTGTTAAACCTAATCCCTTTTCAAAGGCTGGAGCCTGACTGTCACAACAGGATTCAGCCCAGGATGTATGACAATTATGTGTCAAGGTCATGTATCGTGCACCGGCTTCATACAACTGTCGAAGTGCTACCATCGAGTTGGCAATCATCTGACCACCCTCAATACCCATAGCTGACGCAATCTTTCCACGTCGCATAGCACGTTGGAACTCCTTTGGATGAACTGCTAGATGGAAAGTGTCGGGATACAAATTAATCATGCGCTTAATCACATCGATATTCTCCATCGCTTTTAACACTTGATTTGCCTTGCTATCTTCGCATTCATAATAAATACTCCAAAATTCGCCTCCAACTTGTCCTCGACGAAGACGTTCAATATCTGTATGTCCCCAATCAAAATGTGTAAAATTCAAGTGATTGATTTTACCATTATAAACAAAAGCTAAATGTCTATATGCATGTAAAAATTAACGTGATATATCTATATATTAAGGAAAAGGAAAAAAAAAAAGAAAAGAAAAAAGAAAATGAAATACATACAATGGCAGATCATTATGTGTATCAATCACTGGGTTATGACCAAGTAATTTATGAGCATGGTCAATTGCATCTTGTTTCTTGTAAAATCGTGTACTAAAAGGAGCTTGTTCAGCTAAACCATCAAAAGCTTGTATTAAAGGTAAACCCAAAGCAGCAGCAATGGTAACTACAGACCAATGAACCATGCTTAAATTTTTCTTTTCTTTTTTTTTATATACTTTTCAATAAAAGAATCATTTTATTATTTCTGAGGCTTAAATATGTTTATACACATGTTTTTTTTTTTTTTTTTTTTTTTTTTTTTTTTTTTTTTTTTTAAGGCATTTTCTTTCTTTTTTAGTAGGTTGTCTTAGAGCGTTACACATAAATGTTTACATACAGACAGACAATAATAATTTTATTAGTTAGTTAGTTATATTATGATTCCAAAAAAAAAAAACAATGTGATTATTTGTAAATTTTATCAATTTCTTCTTTGTTTCCTTTAAGAATATCTCTACGCTTAACTTTTCCAGTGGTGGTCATGTATTCCTTTAACCAATCCTTATTACGAGTAACGACAATATCTTTAACAATCTCGACTCGACTGCAACCACTTGAGGTAGCTGATTGTTGAAGGTCTTTAAGGATCGTCTCCTTGTCAGCATTATTGTCTACAGGTTCAACGACACCCACAATATAGGATTTATTACTGTCGGCGATCAGACAAATATTTTTAATGCTACTGCAATTACGATATTTCGATTCCAAGTTTTCAAGAGCAACATATTCACCATGAGCTAGTTTGACTAAATTTTTGGCTCTGTCTGTAATTGCAAAGGTGCCATCAGGTTTTAAAATTGCAATATCACCTGTCTTGAACCAACCATCTGGCGTGATGGCTTCGTTTGTAAGATCAGGTCTCTTATAGTAGCCCCTGAGAAGTGAGGGGCCTCGAAGCCAGAGTTCACCCACATTATTTTCAGCTTTATAATCTGTATCAGGAACATCAACGAAGCGAAATTCAATAGAAGGAGAAGGAGGACCGATGACACCTGTAGTTATACCTAAACTTGGAAGTGTAACAGCACCCAAACCACAGCATTCAGTTAAGCTATTATATATATATATATATAAAAGGAGGAGGAGGAGGGAAGACAACAGTTAGATGATCTTATCCTATATGTGTATATATATGTATATATCTTTGTTATATTTTCTATTCTAATTACCCATAACCTTGAAGCATGTAGCATAAAGTGGATGTAATAAATTTTTGTGTTTCAAATGATACAGGAGCACCACCCGAGAGACCATATTGTAAACGTCCACCCGTGACATCACGAATAGCACCAAAGATAATAGAATCGTATAAATTAGTGATAGAATTTGGTTTACCAAAGAAGTTTAACATTTTCCATTTCATTTCGATAGCAGCTAATATCATGTAACAAGTTATGTATATGTATATAAATATGTACATTTATGTGTATGTATATTACCTTCAAATACTTTTTTAACTGCCCAATGCTGTTTATTTAATTGAGCATCAATCCCCTTTTTGATCTTTTCCCAAACAGCAGGAACACCTGCCATAATGGTAGGCTTTAATGCCTTAAGATCACCTTCTCCTTTACCTTTACCATCAGGACCACAGACAAAGTCATTCATCAAGGTACGTATACTACCATAGCCAATAGGGATAGTAAATGAAATCATGATCAATTCAACCAAGAATTCCAATACATGAGCAAGAGGTAAAAAGCCAATATAAGAATGATTTCCAAATTTCAAAAAATCAATGACCAAATATTCTGCTGAACCAATGGCTGCAATAATATTAGCATGTGTTAATTCAACACCCTTAGGAGCACCTGTAGAACCAGATGTATACATAATTAAGGCAAGATCATTAGGTTGAGGCTTCTCATCAACTTGAACTTGAACTTGTTCTTGATTCTTATCTGTGATGATAGTATCAATATGAACCATATTCACTTCATCTGCTTTCCCATTTTTGAATTTTTGAACTTCCTCTGGTGCTTCAAATTCATGACCAGCATAAAAGACAAATTTTGGTTGATCCTTCTTTTCAAGTTTTTCATAGGCTTTATTTAAAGTTTTAAATAAAGAAGTCTATTGTTGTTGTTGCTTTCTTCAGTACTCTCTCTCTCTTTTTTCTTTTTTTTTTCTTATATTACCTCAGTAAAAATGGCCTTTGCTTCAGTTTCTTTAATGATATGATTGATTGAATCAGCGGGCATTGAATCATAGGCTGTAGTAATCACTAATCCAAGGGTCAAACAAGCTATATATAAATGTATAAATATATTCCTGTTAGTTTCCAACATTTTCCCTCACTCGATATTATTTTATGTTTTACCTAAAGCAGTCATCATCCATTCAGCTCTATATCAAAGAAATATAAAATTAGCATTCTTATATGGATTACTCTCATATATCTATTTTCTACCTTGTCTTAGAGAATAAGATGACAATATCACCATGTTGAAGACCATGACGTTGAAGAATGGAAGCAATTTTTTGAATTTTTTCATTTGCTTCACGATAACTCATCCATTCATAATCACCAAGTTCAAAATAAGACCATTTTTTAGGTTTACCTTCATTAGGAGAAGATTTAGATTCCTTGTAGTAAATCTATATAAGAGAGAGAGAGTGTGTGTGTGTATACACATATATTATTTATTTAGTAAAAAAAAAAAAGGAACCCCCTTCTTTTTTCCTTTTTTCTTATATAGCTTACTTTACATTTTTAAGTGGACGATAACCAAAGACAGGTTTATGCATATTAGCATTTACAGTTTGTCCCCAAAGTTGATCAATCGTACACTCCTCCTTTCTTAACTTTGGGAAAAGGGGCGTATCAATAAATCCATGTTCTGCTTGACGATGACGAAAAATATGATTTTGACCATCATATTCTATTGTTGGATTAGAAATATCTTGAAGGAAAAGGTTTGTAATATATTCCATCTTCTTTATTGTAAAAAAAAAAAAAAGACCAGTAGTAGTAGTAGTAGTAGTAAAGAAAACTAAAAAACTAAAAACTAATAAAAAAAAAACAAAAAACAAAACAATACAAAAAATTATGTCATGAATGATTTTATATGTGTCTTTTCTTAGGCTTCATTTGTTCAAACGGCGTATTTTTTTTTTTGTTTTAGATTATCATTGGTGTTTCGCTATTTTTAGCATGAAAAAAAAAAAAATAATCACGGAAATAATTTTATATTTTGTTAGACACCCTTCTTTATAAAAAGGAAGTAAGGGTTATTTGAATTAAATAAAAAAAAA